GCTCAAGTCGGACAACATTGCCTGATCAAGGGCCGAAGCCTGCTGGAAGCTACGCAATACCTCAGTAGGTACCTCAAGCTGCATGCGCTGCATTGTCTGCACATTCATGGTGGCATGATAGGTCGAAGGCGCAGCGTTGTCTTGGGCTGGCATAACCTGTTGTTGATATGGACTTTCATCCGTGATAACAGAGTAATGCGTAGGAACTGGTGACAATTCCATAGCAGAAACAATGTCGTCTGATCGTCAAAGTTCTAAGTTCCGACCGTCGTCGCAAACCCGCCGCTTGTACTCGGCTTGAACGTTTGAGCCTTTTAAGGTCGATAAGGAACCACCTAAACCCGGGTTCGGGAACACTAGGGTAACCACACGTGTAGCAAGAAATCACTAAACCCAAAATGTGTGCCAGTGCGCCCACGCACTGGTTGTCTCTTGAATCTCGTGAACTCTTAACTCGAAGCGCTGAAGGAACTCTGCAATGTCGTGTTCTCCTCTGAACACTGACTGAGTTCTGCAGCGACACGTTTAGGGTTGGGTCGTCGAAGGTGTTAAAGGGAGGCACTGCTGAAGCTGAGCCGACCACACCGACTGAAACAACCCTGAACGCAAAAACCCCGAATCTCGCGGTCACTCGTGGCCTTTTGTCGAACTTGAGCCACTCGCAGTTTCGTCGTGTAAATGGCTTCTGAGACATGCTTGGCATCTTCGAGACAAGCATATGTCTACTGCAAAAACATGCATGCGAACATGACGTGAAACTTACTTGCACTAGCCCTTTACATGGCTGCCCCGTAGCCTTTCCGCTTTCTTATTTCGAGGTCTTTCTCTTTTCTTGTTTCGGGCCAGTGCCCATCATCCTACTCCTACCGCACTGCACTCGAACACGTACGTGTGTCATGGTGTGTAAGTGCGGTGTACTACGAGTAGATAAAATAATTGGTTCGCAAGAAGCATTAATTAGATACTTCAAACACATCGCTCGACAGCCTAGCCAAGGCATCAAGAGCAGATATAAAAGCATCATGGACATCTGGGGTTTCCTACAACAAAATCAAGACGTTGCGCCTCTCCGCAAAAGACTTCACAAGCGTAGCAGCAGTTTCTCCTCGACGTAGCCTGGAGGATGCTTTCCAGTCAACACAAGGTCTCACAGACGTCCGACTGGATCTGCTGTATAATCTGTCTGGCCGTCAAAACGTATGCAGTATGCAGTGGATCCCTGCCGCGCGGCCGCCCACCTACCAAGGAAGTCCCTCTTCTTCTCCTCGATGCCAATCGCGGCCGCCAGCGAGGGGAGGAAGTGCCGCGGCGAGTGCCCGGACCAGAAGAGTGCCAGCTCCTTAGGAACCAGCTTGGTCGTCTTGCTCAAACCCCAAATGCCGGCTTTCTTCCCGGCTGGTAGCTCCAAGACAACACGGCGCACCAGGTTGGCCACCCCTTCAGCACCGATGTCTCCCTTGAGCTCACCTCCCAATTTTCCCCGATATCCGGGCAAAAGAAGTCTCGAGCGAACTTGAAGTCATCACTCTGCAAGGGCCGACAAGAGTGGAGGATCCAGAGAGCCTGAGTCCCCTGAGAAGGTAGCCCTGCAACTGACCGATCCGCTTTCCAGGTCCCGAGGTCTTGGCGCGAGAAAGGACGAACTTCATGCCAAGCTGTGACAGCGTAACGCTCGACGGATCAATGCCCTGAATATCATCACAACGCTGTGTTCCCTAGCACATGAGCAACAAAAGGAAGCATCCAAACCGTAGCCCGGGCGGTGTGCCCACCTTCACCGTCAAAATCTAAGCCGAAAGAGCCATCGCCACAGTGATCAATTCAGCTTGCTTGACAGGCTCCGCAGCTGTCTCCAGCTGCATCGCCCAGGCCTTCACCGTCTCGTGAACCAGCAATGGATCCGCAGACACCCACAACCTGTCAGCCGGCGGCTTTTGCCCCAGCAGCTCCAGAAGACACAAGCTGGACAGAACACTCTGCGGTACTGTCTTGCCCATAGGTCTAACCTGATGCCTTTCATCGAAATACTGCAGCAACGGTGAAGAGGCCACGGCTTCCCGGTTGCCTGCAGGAGCCACTCGCGGACCGGATCCCATGTGCGAGCCCGATTCTTCAGCGTCTTTCCGCGCCTGCTGCCAAACACTCTTAGCCAAGCCGCCTCTGCACCCGCCAAGGCTCCGATCCTATCTGCGGCAGGCAACCCGGCCTCTTGTATGAAAGCCGCCAGCTTCAAACCCCAGCGACGCCTGCCGGCATCCTCGACACGTGTGCCTGCACCGGCTTTTCGAAGCTTCAACTTCTTCTCAAGAGCAGCCAAGCCGAGGGCCGGATCTGCAGCCAGCAAGCTCTCATAAACCTCAGCAGCAGTGGGCGCAGCCACCTGGCGTATGTAAGGTCCTTGACGGACCCGATCTGCAACACCATGTACTGTCCTCCCAACCAGGCCCTCATGCCGCTGGCACCAAGTGTAAACCGTCTCTGCAAGCCCATGTCTATCTTCCACTGATAAAACATCAGACATAGCTTCATCGACGATCTCCTGTAAATCCTCTATATATTGAAGTTGCAGCCAGACAAAAATTTCCAACGTGGATGAAAACCTTCGCAACTCGCTCACAAAACACCGGATTGACTTCACGCAGAGGCGTCCACTCTGCGCTGGCAGCTCTGCTTGCAGCCGTGCCTTCACTCATGGTGAGCCATAGCGCCGGAGGTCCCCTACGCCCACCCACTCACAAAAGAACTTGAGTCGTAACTTTGCAGAGGAGCGATCTCATTGACACTGTCAACTGGTCCAACTGAAACTGGAGGTTCAAGCAACATTCTTCAAGCACATGTCCGCAGGAAAGCCCAAGCGTTCTGAGATATTCGCACCCGCCCCCCCTCAAGGCTCACGAACACACTTTTGGTAGGACCCAAGCAGCAAGTCTGGCTGCTAGCTCCTCTTGCGACGATACCTCGATGGCTATTGCCTGACGCCTCCAAACAAGCCACGGTCTGCAGCATAACTTCACCAGCATCATCTCGGCTCGCCTCAGGTAGCAGCATGGTGGCGGAGGGCGGCTCGCATCCACGCGGCGACGCCACGGCGAAAGAAAGCTCGAGTGGCAACCAGTTCGAGGCCCGGATCACCTTGATCCAAAACCTTGCCCAGTCGCTCCCGCGGTGAGCGGTCTTCAGCAAAATTGGTGATCGGGATGCAAAGCTGACCGTTGATCTTTACAACGGGAACCTCGATTCCCAATGCTCCAAAGTAGGCGCTACCTTTGGGGAAATTGAGGATGGCTTGCAGCTTTTGCTCATCATGGACAGGCTCAGCAGCAGGGGTATCTCGCACTTCTCGTGCAACACACGTGTCCGGGGAGACGGCACGAACTCAAAGAGCGATCAAGCGCCACAGCAAGGTATGCGTGCTCCGAGCTGAGCTGCACAGGGCCAGAAAACCCTCCTTCTCTTTCTCTGGTGTAGTTTTGGCACGCATCTTATGCTGCCGAAGGAGATGGGTGTGACGGTGTGACCTTGGAGCCATACATTGGACACTGCGAACCCCGCAAACTCGGGGGGCTTGGTGATGAGCACCTCGGCGACGCTGTGCGCCGGGGGCGCAGTGCTGCACACAACAGTCGTGAAGTAGCTTCCATACTCCTGCTCCGGCTCCTCGATGGTCTGCTGCTCGGCCCCACTTGGACCCTTGAAGATGCCTGGCGGTCGCTGTCAGTGCGCCCGCCGTATCCATCCTTCTTCATCCTGTCCTTTGCCCACTTCGCCCTCATGAGTATCCTTGGCCACTTCGGGGATGTCGTTGAGTTCTGGAGCTCATCCACCGGCTAGACATTGATTGGCACCTTTGCCCTTGCGCTCACGGGTGGCACCGCACGGCGCTCTGGGGCGAGCCCCACGAGCCTCGGAATCGTAAATGGGCGTTGCCACAGTCGCACCTTCTCTCCGCATAAACTCGCTGGAGGTGCTGCGCCCCTGAGCCTGATCAAGTGAGCCCTGGAGCCTCCTCCGGAACACAATGAGCCCTGGGCCCTCCTTCCTCCAGAACAAGTGAGCCCTGTTTCGGGGCCATTGCGGCTGTTCCGCTCACTCCACTACTCGGCACCGTGTCCTTCTCCTTGTCTCGCAGCCGCAGGTCTTCAAGGTCACGAAGCACACCGCCTGCCGAATCGTGGTCTTCAAGGAGGTGCTTGGTCCGGAGAAGGTCGAGCAAGTCCTGCCGCAGCAGCTCGCCTAGACTTTGACAGCCTTGCGAGGGAGAAGCTGCAGCGTCTCACGGTCGGTACCTCTGACTCAGCACGCTCCTGCGCCGGATCGGGCTCATTCTCTAACCATGCAGGGTCCTGGTGGTCAGCATCCGTCTGGCCCGGGTACTCGAGGTCGTTCGGTTCTGCATCAGCATAGCTGGGTTCGCCAAGGGGGCTCGCACTCGCACCCGGAGTGCATGCGACTCTGCTGCGCTGGCTCCTCGGGGGTCCGTCATCCAGAAAGTCGTCCAGATTCGTCCAGGGTGGCTGCCGGGCCGGTGTCGACGGCGCCGGTCATTACGGCACGCTCCGCTGCCAACATACACTGATGTGCTTGGCTTGAGGAGCAGGCAGAAGAAACACAGATCAAAGAGGGCCCAGGTTTCTCCGCTAAGCGACAGTGAGCCAATGGCCGCAAAGGCAAAGGAGGTTACTCGCTCAGAGTGCAAACCTTCACAATTCTGCGGGTGGATGGATCGCACATCATAGTAGTGCCTGAGGACACGTTCATTGTCGATCACTTGTAGACGCCCCCGCTACCGCGCAGGTGCATGTACCCTGTGCATTCGAACCGTCCGTCAGTCAGAAGACTTGTTCAAACCAACAGCAAAAAGTTCCTTGTCCTTGGGCAAAGTATGTAGAGACGAAAGGGGGGGCGGTGATATCAGCGAGAAAGTGCTCCCACTAAAGACAAACGTTCCCGCAATTTCCTGCATGTATACTCGATATCAGCGAACACGGCAGTCGCTTTGCCTCCTCACTGTGCAGGTACAGCACACGGTGCTGGCCAAGTCGGTGGAGGGCTGCCTCCGCAGCTTTGTGGAAACTCACCTCTGGGTGTGTGGACGGTCAAGGCATGCACACAACATGACAACAACACGATATGTTGTCAGCCGGACTCCTCCGAGTGAGCGAAGATGTCGACCTCGCCCTCATCTCCATCTGCAGAATGCACCAACAGCTTGGATCCCAGAGTGTCCAGTTGATGCACCTGCTCCTTCCAAGCACCACGCACCAGCACGCACACCTCGAGGGTGTCACCACAGTCCCCCATGGTCCTCTGTGAGAAGCATCGGCAGCACAGCCGCCTGGGTGGCTTCGGCTTCCATCCGCGTCAGGTGCAGAGGCGGGATGCCAGAAGACCAACTAGCGGTATCCTCGCCACTGAACTTTCACACTTCGAACTTCGGACCACCCGCTTTGCGTCCTGTCCAAATGGTGGCACCACGAAGACGCCCCAGCCTTCAGCTGCACAAAATGGCTCATGCTTGCGTCCCAAGGTACCGCAGTTTGTGCGGCGGCTGCTGCAAAGCTGCGCTCCAAGTCGCGGCAGACCGGCCAGTCCAGTTCGTTTGGGTCCGCAAACAGTGCCTTTGTCGCTCCAGCTCGCCGCTTCGTCTCTGAAGCTTCTAAAAAACTTCTTGCAGACATCAACACATCTGGCTCGTTGAAGTCAACCGCAGAATCCAAGGACCTTGATGTGTCAAGCTGCAAAAACCAATGCTAGGCAGCTAGGCACGCTTGCAAGATGGACACAGATGTTCTCTCACTGCCGTCGTTTTATGTTTCTTGTCGGACTCTGCGGGCAAACCAGAAGAATCGACTGACCCCGCTGAGTCTTCACTTAGCACGCAGCTTTCCTCGATTGGCCAAGATTTCAGCGAGCTGCGCGGGTTATGAATGAGTGTTCTTGGATGGAAACACCCGTCAGCCAAGGATTTCTAGTACCCTACCTCCACTAAGTAGCCCATTGAAAGAGGCTAAAGTGCGAGTCGGAGAGCGGTGGAAACGCGGCAGTCCCGGGCTGGCAGACTGGGATAGATTTGCAGTCGTATATAGTATATAGCTCACGACAGATCTTGACAGTGCAGATGCCCACCAGTAACAAAGAAGGATTCTCCACCAGAGCCCGATGCTAGAGGCACACTTTACGCAGAGGAGGCATGCAATGCAATGCTTTCCACTGCCGACGCAAAACATCTCTCACTCATTTGAGATGCTTGATCTGTGGGCCCACTGCCGGACGACTCAACAACAATGCCCGTCCTATCCTGTCCTGTCACCGGTCGCTCGTTTGCTAAAAGCTTTAGAAGCAGCTGACGTAGCTGCTTGTCTCGCAAGTGTTACTGACCTGTGGCAAATCGAAATTATTCCGGCGTAGATCCTCAAACAGTCAAAGACCACGTGCAAAGTACAGTGTACCCCCCGACGTTAGCAAGACCAGAAAGAAGATGCATACATACAAAGACCACCAGGACCACCGGCCCTACCAAGACAATAGACATGTCAAGAGTCGCGCATCTCGTGAAAACGGTGCCCGAACGGGATTGTGGCAACAATGAGACTCTAGTCCAACATCTGAACCGCACCACTCATGTAGACTTAAAGTCCAGTGAACGACTGTGAGCAGCCCAAGACTTCGGGTGGTGTCTGCGCAGCAAGCAGAGTTCTGCGTGCTCAACAAGCCTGTCCTCATGTCTCGATCGAAGAGAACGTTTGATGTGAGCAGGCGTCAACCCCTCGAACCCGTCGCAGGTGGGCGACAACATGGCAAGAGATGCTCGTTACTTCCAATCTACGCAAGCATGTTGCGTTGCTGACTGTGGAACGGCAAGGTTGGCAAACACCCATCCTGCTGACAACACCCGAAAGGAGCTTAGAGACTGTCATCGCTTTGAGAATCATGGTTGGAGCTCGACGGGCATCTGGTTGACAGCTCCGAAACTTCATAAGATCACATGAGAAAAACATAGCAAGGCGAAGGGAGCGGGGCTCGCACCGGTAACAAGGCTGCAGTCTGCAGGCCAAGCTTCACGAGCATCGCAACGAATGCTGTGACAGAAACCATTGCGCTGTCAGAGTGCTCACTTTGCTCTCGCCGTAATGCTTAAGAGGTTGATTGCCTGTTCAAGATGCTAGAGCTGCTAGGGAATCGTGCAGCGGGGACAGGACGATGAACCCCGCAAAGCCAAAGCCTGAAGGCAGAAAAAGAGATTGAGACAGCAGAAGTACCGAGCTCTTCAAAGTCGGGCGGCTCAACGCAAGTGACCAAGCGCAGCTGTCGTGATGAGCCTTCTCTCCACTCCTGGAGCAAGCATGCCGAAGGCTGACATGTTGGTGCAGAAACGCTCGCCATCCCAGCCCAGGCCTCGTGCAACCATCTCGACAGCCTAACGAGGCCGTGTGCCGTGAGGAACACCAGCGCACATGTCGCAGCAGGCAGGGATTGAAACTCCTGAACAGGATCTTCGGACTTCTTCTGCCTACATGCCTTTCATTGCAGTGTGATTGAATTTCAACGTCCTGCTCCGCCGAAAGTCCGGCGAGCGTGCCCTGACAAATCCCATGGTCTCAAGGTGTCTCTGCCGTCTCTCATTGTTTGGCAGCAGCCTCTGCATGAATTGCTGCATGAAGGGGTTCCATTTCACTATGTGGTCTCGCACTGCCGATCGTAATAAATCTCACATAGGGCTGGAGCTTGCACGCTGCGTTTCCCCATCTATGCCTGCCGAGCCGATTCCCCGCACCCTAGCAGACTTTGACTGCTCTCCTGGCTCATGCCCCGAAAAGCACATCCCACAAAGAAGAACATTCGAAAAACATGATGCGTGCTGTGCACAAAGATAGCAGAAGCAGAAGACGGATATGTTGTCTGACATGGAGTCATCAGCTATTCCAGAACGGCGGGTCAGCACGTCCGCCGCCTCGAAACACGAAGTGACTCTTCATGTTGAATGATGTTGAATGGCCTGTGCTGCCCCCAACAATCCCCAACCCATACCGCCACGACCTGTTGTTCCTCCCGTTGCCAACCTCCCAATTGCCTTCCAACATCTTGTGCTTGCTCTGCCTGCTTTATGTCTGCGTCAATCTACAAAATTTGCTGCTGGGTCCCGCGTCGTTGTAAGGAGGGCATGCACTACGTAACACTTCTGCGCCTAAATTCATGACATCGACAGAACGCATTCAAGAACATGGCTCGAGCGTTCGGAATTGGGGCCTGAGGAAGCTGCAGAAGGTCACAACGAAGCCACGTGCATCTCTCCTGAGCAAACTCCGACTCCACAGCGATTCACTGCTCGTGAGGTGTGCCACTTACAGACACGTTGCTGCATTGCAAAGCAGGAAACCGCTCTACCAATCCGCTTCTACTCTGCTTCTTTCTGGTCCTCGACATTGGCCTCTCTGGCACGCTGCCGTGCAGCTGCGATGCACCTCGCAGCAAACAGAGATTTGTGCCGTCGCGGTCACAGTTTGCAGGAGCTCAGCTCCGCTGTGAAAAACTTGAAAGAAGCAACTGCGTCTCTGCTTCTATGCATCCTGCTTCTCACAGCACGCAGCAACGACACGAAGGTGTTCGCCTGCTGATCAAAACAGAAGAACCGTATGGATTTGAGCCTCAATGGCAGGGCTAAGCCCAGGCTCCACACTTCTCACTTATAAGTGAGCTTAGCTCCCGCCGAAGCAGTTCAAGCAGCCATACGGATAAAAACAATCCTGATTGCGCAGCAATCCAAATGTTAAACGCATTCCCAGCAGCGGGCCGTCGATGTCCAGCCCTACGCAACGGCAGCCACAGCGACGCGCTGCCTGTCCGAACTTAGACGTGAGAAGGCTGGACACAAGCTCGTCGGCGAGGCTCGGCGAGGGTTGGTGCCGGGCATCGCCACCGACGACTAGCAATTGAAGCACTGGTGAGCCCTTCCCCTTTGATTACATGCCCACTCTCACGATAAAAAAACACTCTCCGGACAATCCACCTGTAGACACACCAGCCTTTAAACACGTGTTTGACCTGCCTTGGATTAGGGGGTTTCCGGAGCATAGCAAAAGCAAGAGAAAGATCCCCCAAAAGTGACAGCAGAGAGCTGTAGGGGAGCGTCGGAGACGGCTGCAGAGGATTGGCAGTAGCAGCAATGGGGGAGTTGCGGTGGAAGGGAAGCGCGGACAAAGAACGTCTAGAGAAGGGTTCTGAGAAGCCCGGGCCTGTCATCCGAAGATCCACAAATGAGCAGTTCAGTAGCACCATAGCAGTGGCGGTAGCAAGAGCACGATAGCAGTGAGGCTACTTAACTTAGCGATATTGGAAGTTGCAGAGGAGATACCCAAGCAGGTGGGTGGCCTGCAGGGAGAAAAACAACTTGGAGTTGGTTCAGAAAACAAGTGAAGCTTTGCAACTCCTGACGACTCGAGCTTCGGAGCTTCAGAAGGAGGCCCTATCCTAAATTCAAGTCTCTTCAATACCTCAACCTGCCCCGGACCTGCACTTTTAACCCTCCCTGATCAATCAACCTGAAAAGGCTGATTTCTCTAAGCCACTGAGAACTCTTATATAGTAAATCAAAACTCCAGGTGAGTCCTCGCAGGAATCGCAAACTGGTGTGAAGCTTCCGATGCCTTGTGCAGTCACCTCCACACAAAGGTGCTGCCGTGTAGGTGCCTCAATGAGTACCACGCCATCGCCGCATCCCAGGTCCCACAGGACGTCCTGCGAGCGCAGATCGGCGTCTGCCCATCTACCATGAAATCAAACGGCATGGCGTGTCTCCTCCGGACCGAGCCGAGCTGCCTGGTGCGAAAAAACGGCATGCACGAAGACCCCGACACGTGGCTACCCGCAAACCTGCAAGACGTATGGAATACGTCCAGCCGCACACGGCACAAACGGCGACACGGAGAGCGGGCCGAAGGCACTGTCCTTGCAGGGTTAGACTCTCCGTGTGCTATTGTATGTTTGTATGATGTATGTATGTGCATGGGCGGGTGGGTGGGTGGGCGGGCCTGTTGGATGTCTTGGTCCGACGGGTTCTGTCAAGGACTTGTGAAGTGTTGTTCGATGTTTGCTGCTTTCGCTCATTCGAAATCGATCGTGCATGGTCGACCTGTCGCCTGCGTGGTTCGTGGTCAGTTGTTTGACACTGCCCTCCACACATCCTCAGCATCTGCGAACTGCTCCAGATCCTCCAGTCTTGACAGCACATACCTGGGCAAACAGTGCAAGCCTCCGAGCTCAACAGTATGCGGTCCAACAATGCTTGAATATGCTTGAACCATTCTGCATCCTGCACGGTCTTGCACGGCATGGCATTAAATCGTCCTCCTTCCTGCTGAAGTCCCATCCCCCTTCCCAGTCAAATCTGCGCTAGTTGCTTCCTCAGCAATGCTGTTTGTTCATCTTCACAGGCATCCACCATGGGCGAGATACGGGTCGACTATGATGAGCCGTTGGCCGAGTCTACTCGTCCCCGACTGTCTGCACCTCCGCTGAACGGCACTTATCCTGCAGTCCAAGCACTTCTAGCTCCAGGGCTGAAGGCAGGTTGCCTAAGGCCTAAGGGTCTAAAGGCAATGCGTCGTCTCTCTTGCAGTGCTTGAGCCACGGCAGGATTGAGAAATGCCTCGATTCCACTAGCAACGCTATGCAACTCTCCTTGTGCAAGACCTGAGCTCCCTCATCTTTGGATCCGAATCCAAGTGTGCACCTGCGAGAGTCGGGCTAAGCTGAGACAGTTCGATACGTTCCAAATAGTGAAGCTGTTCCATCACATTCCACCGCGCAACGCAATCCCTCTGACCGAGCTGCCGCGATTCCCTGATAGAGCTCGCAAACCAAACGAATTGAGGGCAAACCGTGGAAGTTTGGGGGGGAATGTGTAATTGGAGATGTTGCAGGCTGCCTGTATGCCTGTTACAGGTTCCGTGGGGGTTTGTAGGACTACAGTCGAAAGCAAATTCTCGTTGAGGCTGGGGCTGCGCGTCTTCACAACCAGCGCCGGGTTCCCCTGCCCCAACCGCAAGGCTGCAACGAGTGTGGCGAGCCATGACAGCCACTGCAAGCTTCTTTCTGTTCTTCGGTCCTCCGCCATGGCTGCTGGCTGCCTGCAGCGGGTTGGTACCATCGATGCTTGCATGGTGGCATCGATGGTACATTCAGGCAGAGAGGCAATCAGGCAATCCAATTATGAGAGGAGAGCCGCTAGGGTGTGGGCTAGTCCTCTCCCTCATGGCTCGTATGCATCGAGGAAAAACACTTAGACCTAGACCTGACACAGCCGTGACCAATTCGCACACTCTGAGCTTCTGGCGCCAGTCACGCTGCACGAGGCTTCCCCAACACACTTTCGGAGCTTTCCTTGCTTGCCCCACAAGAAGCCTGAGACTAGCCCTTTCTTTGTCGTCTCCGTTCAAATCTTCTACAACACGCTGGAAGAAACGAGTCATGCCGGCCTTGAGCCGAACTCTCGCCGCTCTGAGCTCAGCTGTGGGTGGAAAACTCAAGTCCCGCAATCCGCAAACTCTCGCAAGCGCTGCAATCCGTGGCAATGTGGGGGCTGTTTTCACCGCGCTTGCCTGCCGCGAGACGGCGTTCCAAGAATCTACAAAGGGTCACACCCTCTGAGTTTCCATGCCATCATCAGCCGAGACGTTGCCGCAAGACGTCCACTTGCAGCAACATGCTAAAGCGATCGAATCAAACTTTGTCGCTCCGGCCTAGATCAGACCACTCAAAAATCAGAAAATGCAACAGCTTAGCAACGACATCAACATTGACTGAGTCGCCGATGAGCTTGTAACCTCGGATGGTTGACCGAGAAGCCAGTCACAGCTGAGGGATGTCGAAGCGGACAGGGATAACTGCTGCAAAGTTCTTTCGTGCAACGGGGTCCAGCCACACGACACGAGTGGCCTCGGGCTTCATCCAGGTCACGCTGGCGTGGAGTGATAGTTGCTGGGAAGCAGAAACTGCAGGGAAATCCGGCGATCTGGAGAAGCTCTCGAGGTGTGAAGTACCTGCACTCAGCTTCATGGCTCGACGTTGTCGTGCACACTTCAACTTTCACTGTGTTCGAAGCCTCGCCTCACAGGCTCCCCAGGCATCACGAGGCGCTTCACTCGCCCACCAGGAAGCAAGACCGGCCGACACCATGCTTCGTCGCTGTCGTCACTGTCGCCTTTTCAGCATTTCAAGCGACTCTGCATGCGGAGGAACACATCGCGACGCCTGGGAATGCGTCGTCCTTTGCCAGAAGTGGTCCAAATCGATGAGCTTCGAAACAGGCAGTGGTATAGCCTGCGCACAGACTTTACATGGAAGGAGGAGATTACAGAATTCCACATAATGTGAGACTTTCGTTTCACTGAAGCTTCGAACTTCCATGTCCGGGCCGGGCCGAAGTTTCTCGACAGGAGAAGAGAGTCAGAGCCAAGGACCGCTGACCGCATCTCACCGCTACACCGCTACGCTGTAGAGAGACGACAGATGTGTAGTTTTGCATGGTGCGCAGCCTGCCGTAAAGGTTGAGGAGCTTGTGCTCTTTGGAGTCACCACCTCGCACATCAAGCTAGAAGACACCCGCATCTTGAGACTTCCTAACAAGAGCCTGGTGCGATGCATACAGCGAAGACTGTGAACATAGTGACTCACATTGGCTGTGCTGGCCATCTCATGACGCTAGCCGCTAGCTCGCGTCCTTGCTACCAGTGTTGGGCTAGGTCTGCTAGGTTTGTGGACCCAGTCGAAGCTGGAGCCTCCCAGCGCTGACTTCGAGCTTCCAGAAGTTCAAGCATCCGCGCTGGAACGGAGCACGTCTCTGGATCCAAGTCCTGCAGAAGCTGCACCAAAGGCTGGCATGGGCAAAACACCTCGCGGCTAGCCCACTAGCCTTCAGTGCTGGGCAACTATGCAATTGAACAAACTGGCACAACTTTGGCGAGATGAACCGGCAGTTTGCGGGCAAGTCGGGTGCCGTGGCTTTGCATAAAACTCTAGGATACTCTACGACGGACTCTACGACAGTCTACGACTATACGTCTCTACTCGACACCACACCAGCGCGGAACATGTCTTCCGGCAGCTCGCAGTGGCTGTCACGGGAAGTGCGACATGCGCCCACTTCTCTCGAACAGCCGCTCCTCGTCTCGTTCCAGGTACTCTGCCAATGCCCGTGAAGTCTTTGGAAAAACTGCTGCGCCAGGGAAGTCCTGATGCAGTCTTAGGTACATGCTTCGGTCATGAGTGAGGAGATCGTTTTGCGACGGTGCTTCAGCGTACAAGCGGTCTGCAGATTCGACCCTGTCAGGAGGCTATAGTTATAGAGTTATTAGAGTTATAGACTCTAGAACCCTGCAAATGCAGGCAAACGGAGCAGAGCGGTGGACTTGGCGCTCCGTCTCCGTCTCCAGCGCCTTCCCGGGCTCCAGGGGCCCTGTGGTCCGTCGCGCAAGGAGGTAAATGCGCGGCCTCCTGTTGGGGATACCTCGGACAAAAAGCGCGGCTCAAACTTCTTGACTTTATGAACGTGGTGTCCCAAATCGAAGCGCAGCTGCCGAGCTGAAGAGGACTCAGGTGGAACACGCGAACTTCGAAGTCTGCTCGTAGCAAAGCCTGCGAAATCGACTTTGACAGATTGGTGTATGATATATGCAGTACATATTTAGTGTGTCAGTCCCTTTTTGCATAGCAGTCGCACATTCCGGCAAAGGCCAGAAATGCTTCTAGATTCTAGCTTGTATCTGTTGCACGAATACAGGATCCAGGCCTGCGTGATCATTTTGAAGGATTCCGAACTTTCAAAGCCTGCAAAATACTACAGACATACGAAACAACTGACTGACGGGGAAGCACGGACTTCAAGACAACATCCACTCTGTCGCACACTTTGAGCAAAGCCAAAGACAGAACGTCGAACCAATGTCTCTAGCCACATGTGTCTTCAAGGAGGCTTCTGATGCTTCCCAGAGATGCACCACGTTATTAACATATCAGGCCTGTATCTTGAAAGCATGCAGTCATATAGCGAAGACTGTAGCCCAGTCAGGCTCCGGAAGCTCAGTCTTGGACCCACAACATTTTCCAGCAGGATCGCCTGGCTCACGGGCTTTGAGCCCGGCAAAGCGCAACTGCTATGCTTCGGCCTTTGGAGGCTCCTCCAGCTGCGATAACAGCCTCAGTAAGGGTTTCCAGTGGCACTGCTTTCGATTCAAGTCCTGGCACATCCGCACTTAGAGCAGCGCGAGGCCAGGTGCTGCAGGGGCTGTGCCCGCCGGTCCCCAAGGTCGCCACGACGACCCAAACGTGTGTATGGCTGACACGGCCTGAGACTCGAAAAACTTAGAGTTTTGAGACAGGGCTGCCTGCAATGTTCATGCCAGCCATCCAGCTGAGCCACGGAGACAGAATCCAAAGGTCGGCAGAGTCCACCTAGTCTCAGTGCTAAGCCGTGCAATCCGTAGCACAGCACACAAGGGCGCAATTCATCGTGTTCCTAAACGCTGGATGCAATTCTGGCTGCACAGGACTCTGCCGACTGTCGCTCAAAGCTATAAGCGTACTTGCTTTCCCTCTTTGCAACGCCACTGCGTGTATCTGAACGTACCTGATTATCTGTTGCAACCTCTGTACCCAACTCTCAGCCACGCAAGAGAGCTGTGGATTGGCAACTCTTGATTCTTGCACATGCTTGTTGAATACACCTGACCAGCCTAGAGGATTCCCGCTGAATGGTTTCATGCGGCACTGGCTCGACAACACCCAGACAGTCGAACATATCGGGCAGCAAGACCGGGAGGCAACAGTTGTGCTGCTGGTCTTATGATCTTAGCGGATCAACACGATTAAAAGCTTAATTCGGTCTTCCATATCTAAGAATCTAAGATGTCAGCCGAATGAGCGAATAGTTTGACTTCCCGATGCAAGCGCTCGCACCCGTCCACACGGTTCGCGCAAAAGGTCTGAACGCGTGCCTCGCTCGGCTGAAGTCGACGAATGTCTTTAGGCAGCAACGGAGCATATGGGACTTCGAAATTGCTGCTGTAGACCTCCATGCAGACCAGGACGCAATGCTACAAAAACAAGAAAGAAGGGTCCGAAGGCTTGTACCAAACCCTGCACAGCCTGCCTCGTTTGCCAGCTTGGATGCCTCGAAATTGACCCATTGCTTCAACTCGCCACCTTCCACGGGACGTCCTGACGATGAATGCAGTAGGTTGCAACGAAAGAGATTGCCTGAGACGGCGCCCTTCGGTGCAGACCGCCTGATCACTGCTTCTGCCACTCCTACTGCCACTCCTGCTGCTGCTTCTTCGGTTACCCTTTGGTTACCGTTGTTTGGTAAGACGCTATACTACACTGCATCATACGAGCGCTACTCGTGCTGTAGAACAGCCCAGAAAACCAGAGGTGGACCGGAAGTCC